TGTATATGTCAGATTATTTTCAAGAGAAGGTTCTGCCAAGTGAATGTGGAAAATAAAACCAAAGTGAGAGAAGGATGTTGCAGCATAAAAACAAAACAATACTTTGCTTCCTTTTCCAGATGGATGTTTGGATTGTATCATTTTTTAGTACTGAAGAGCATGGCCTTTTGCTTCAGGACAGCTTTCCATTGCCTTCATCCTACCAGGTTCTTCTGGGCATAGAGGTTCCACACTATTACTTTGCAAAAAAGGTGAGGAAATCTTTTCTCAGTTCCTTCCTCTAAGTTCAGACTTTTCACTGTGTAGGGATCAAAAGTTATAAAATTGAGGCTGGGATAAGTAGAGCAACTCCAGTGGCAGTTGAAAATGACAAAGATTGTTCTAATGTGTGTGTACTTGGAAGTACATTGTACTGAATTGGCTTTTTGTGGGTATTGCAAACTGGGTGTGTGTGATGTTCAAGCATAAAAGAGACAGTAATTACCAGGTAAATCAATTAAAACAGAGATATGAAAACAATCAAATCTCTTTCTGATTTCTGTAACACCCCATGCCCATAGCAGATAAGGAGGCGACACGTGTCAACTTTATGCAGGTCATAAGAGGGGGCATTTCCTGCTGGCTTCAGCAGAAGCAACCCATTCCTTTGGTGGGATGGAGCTTAGTCCCCACCAATGCCAAAGAGAGTAAGGACACTCACCTTGCACTGTCACCCAGTGCCCATGAGCTACAAATACCAGGAGTGCATGCTTTAACTTCTTGAGCTTGAGTATGAATTCAGAATTGTTTGCACCTTAGATGAATAACACCACACATTCCATGCATACTGGTGGAAGTGAAGCCTGTTACCTACAGATTGGTTTTCTGGTTAAGCTCTGATCCAAGTTTCTTAGTGCCTGTTAAGATGATGAGTTGCACTGCCTACTTCTTGTAGGAGGAGCTTTACAGAGTCTGTTTATTTCTACTAAGGCATTTATTTTTGTAAAATCTGCAGGAACTTAATGAGACTTCTAATCCTCTAAATCTTCCGAATAAGACAGGCCAGTGTGATCACATGCATCTAATTTCTTGTGGTTTAGGAGCCATCTTTAACGGGGCGATTTATCTAGAAGTTTTTCTACCTTATGTATTTAGATACAGAGCAGTGCTTTGCAATTTACCCCTTTCCAAAGCACTGACTGTTGTCATTCTTCCCGTACAGAACAGCTTTTAGAGTTAAACTCTATTTTACTTTCCTTTTTCCCTTAATTTGAAAGGTCAAAGGTGATCTGCTGCATTTTCTCATCTTTCTTTTGACACTTCCTCCCATCTTGTCTCATGCTATTTTACTTTGATATTATGTCTGTTTTTTCTCTTCCTTGTTTTTCCCCTCCCCTCTAACTCTGTGTGGATCATTGCTGCCATTAGTTGTTTTTTCGGAGGGGATGTGCTTATAAACCTGTAAGTATCTGCCTTGTTTTGCTCCTGTTCATCCTCTGCTTCATTCTTTGCTTTTCTCTCCTCTGTTGCCATTTTCTTTCCTCAGTAGGTTACTATGTCTAAATGGCTAAATCACTTGTATAATGATCAATTTTGCAAATGTGCTTTAGTGTATAAGCAGAACTTGGAATACAAGCAAGTTGATACAGTCAGTCTGTTCTGACCAAGTTTCATTTCAGGGTTTCTCTTTATTCATTGTAATGTCTATTGTGTTGTGGTTCTGGAAATTCTCCAGATTGTAGACAAATGCATTTGCACTTTTGATTCCTGTCTTTTACTGTATCTAATACTTGCATTGTGTAATAATATAATACTAATTTTTAATTGGCTTCTGCTAATCTTTAGTTATCTCAATGTACTATTGGGGTAGAGTGCATGTGAAATCTCGTGTCTTTCATGACTCGGATGATCTTTCACTGTGTTTGGCATGTGAAAGTTTCCTTGTTACACTCCAGACAGATAATTTGATATTATCTTTATTCTTTTTTTCTGAATAATGGTTAAATTGCTTTGAGCTGCCTTTTAGTGACTGGTGGAAGTATCACTGATGCTCCAGAGCCTCCAGAACTGCCAGTTGTATGGGGGAGGGTTTAAATCTGAGCTTTAATATTCATAAGCTCCACATGAAGGCAAGGATAAAAGAACTTGGTCTATGGAGTTAACTTTCAGAACAGCAGACTCGGTTTTGAGAAGAGACTTTAGAGAAAAACTTTAGAGAAACTTTAGAGAAATGTTTATCTACATATTCAGTAATCTATGGTCTTAAAATAAGAATTGCTGTTCTAGTAATATTTACAATGATGATAATGATAATAATAATGATGATGATGATGATAATAATAATAATATAAAAGGAGGCTGCCTCTCCTGTGGTATTTTACCAATCTCCAAGTTATCACTGACCTACTGTGATTGTTCTTCATGATAATCTAATCTCTTCTATGACATTCCACATTTTGGGGCATTTTCCAGGAAGTTCTGAAATGTTGAAACTGTGGTCACTATTGATCATGGTCCTGCAGAAATAGAAAACTTGGACTGTAGTGGAAGTAATGTAATTATTACACATACAGAGGAATAAGTTTCAAACTCCTTGATACCTAAAAGGTAACATTCTCATTTTAGCTGGGAGAAACTGAGAAAGGACAAGGGGATTCTGGCTCAATAAAGGTCTCTCAGATGGTTGCCAGAAGACCCCTGAGAGATTTCATTGGATTAGGAGACTGTGATAAGACTACACAGGATGCCATGCTGAACTTCAGCTTCTATCTGACTGCTGGAGACATGGATGAGGCCTTCAAATCCATCAAGCTGATAAAAAGGTATCATAACTACTTATATGTCTTATGGGTACAGTTTGGTTTTGTTAAAACTTTGTACAAAGTTTTGATTCTCTTAAATTCTCCTTACACTTTTTCATTTAATTCTCCCTTTAGTTGTTAACAAGATGAAATATCTTTATCTTACAGAAATTTTATTGTCTTCTCTGTTAATTCTTTGTCTACAAGATGTTGCAAGATCTGTGGATTCTGTTTCACTAAATGTTGAAAATGGTTGATAACAAGCAAACGTATTCTGTGTCTAAATGGCAAAAATCTCATGACTAAAAGGAAATGAACATTCACAACTTTATTTATACATCTAAAATAATTACAGTAATACTGAGTATTACAAATTTACCCATCACATAGCTGATTTTTAAATTTAAATGTACATTATTATATGGATATTGCAATATTAGAAGAAATAATATAATGTCTTTTAAATATTCCAATATTTTATTTTTAAAAACCCTGCAATTAATCATAGCATATTCTTTCTAGAAAATACTTTCCAGAAAGTAATGCAGGCAAATGAATACAAATCTTAGTTGGTTTTTACAAACCTACTGCTAAAAGAAACTCTTTTTTCAGCTTCATGGTATTGTACTCTGATAGTCTAGAATAATGTAGTTGTTCTAGAGCATCAGTCTCTGCAGAGTGTTGCTCACTTTGAAAATGCTGCAGAGCTGCACTTGCGATTGAGTTTCTTGTTACATCAGAACTGAGTGCAGAACAGAACTCAAGAGCCAGCTTGATGATCACATGTTAACAAGGTGTGGAAAGGAATGGTGGAAATAATGGCAAAGCAGAGAAGCTGTTTGCTCAGCTGGGGGCGACACAACCATCCTAAAGAATGTGTAACATTCACAGCTCAGGATCCTTCAAACCGATCAGTAACTCTGCTCAGAGCAGCATCCTTAGTGTTTTTAAACATCTGTCGTTGCTTCTAGTTCCTGTATCCCAAATATTTCTGCATTATAATTTCTGACCTGTTGTTTTTCTGCCTACAAGTTCCATGCATGTGACTTGGAAGCCCATGTGCTTCTCGGGGTCAAACGTAACCACTTCCAAAGATACTCTTTTTCATCTCATGACTGTAGTAAGTGACCAGGCAGGTCTTTTTTAAATCTTATGCTTAAGTTCTCTGTGTCTTAGTCTCCAGAATTTGGGTGCTTGAGTGGCAGTAACGTTCTCTAATATTTACTGTGGTATGTGCATGTGGGCTTTGCTGGGCAGAGTTGGGTGTCCTGACATAAAATTCTAATCTGAAAATGTCACAGCAAATGTTAAAGCACACTGGGAAGAAAAAAAAATAATTTGGGCTGAAATATCTGCTCTTAACCATTGCTTCCAATAATGTCAGTTAGCAGTATCTTGTGTTTATTAGGGAGTCCAGGTGACCTGCTTATGGAGGTACTTTCTCTTATGGTAACACTGAAGCAGATCTTTCAGCAGCCTGTGGCTTGTTCTAGCTGTGTACCCTTTTCATTACATGTCTGTTTACATACAGGATAAACCAAACCCTTTATCTCAGGACACAAAAGAAGTGTCTGAAAAAATGCAGCTTCATTCTTCTGCATTCCTTTTACACCTTGAGTGGTCAGAGCTGCTTTTGCTTGTGGCTGCTTAGGCTATGCTGTGGATGTTGCAGCTCCTGCAAGTTCCTCAAAGAGAAGTGGATGGAAGGACTAAAGAGTCATGACATTTAATCAGCTGTTCCATTAATCACTTATTCTGTAGTGAGTTTTCTGCTTTCTCAGATTGCCTGTTAGCTCCAAAGCTATTGTCACTGGTCTCCTATGGCTTTTTACATTAGGGAGAAGGATAACTTCATGCAGACAGAGAAAATGTGTTTGGTTGCCTCTTTCCTCTATTCTCATTGCTTACACTCTGTGTCTGCTACAGCTGACTCTGCTGGCATGGAGCTGTGATGCTCTGTCAGGATTCTGACAATCCAACATTCTATGCTGTACAGCAGAGGGAGAGGGCAATATAATATAATATATATAAAATTATGTGGTTTATACATATATATAAAGATGGAGCCCATCCAAATAATAATTGAGGGCCTCTGTCCACAAGAATGAGCTTTGTGATGTCTTGCAGCCCTTAGTTTTAAATTATAGTACATATTTCTAGAAAACAACTCCCATGCAGATCTCCTTGGAGATCTTTCCCCTATCAAGCCCACTCCTTCACTCAGCATGGTGACTCCACGTAGTCGTTCTCCAGCCCCCGGCGAAACCGAGCGGTCAGGGTACGGCTGATGACAATGACCCGGGGGGCCATGCAGTCCTCACGCCGATGGAGGATGTTCCATATGAGGATGGCAGCTGCCAGTGTGGCCAAAAGACATGCTCCAATGTTCAGATAGCAAGACCACGAGAGGTTGGTGTATGGTCCGATGCGGTAAAAGGTCACCAGTCCGATAACCAGAACAAAACCTGAAAGGAGAAGGTCAGAATTGTTTTTAAGGAGTTATTCTCTTGTGTTTCCGTAGTGGCAAGATGCCACAGGCCAATGTTCAGGAGACTGTGAAGCCTTTCTAGGGATCTGCTTGAAAGAGTCCAAGGGAGGCTATGAGGATGATGAAGGGACTGGAACGCCTGCCTGAGGAGGAAAGGCTGAGAGACCTGGGGCTGTTCAGTCTAGAAAGGAGAAGACTGAGGGGGGATCTAATGAATGTCTATAAATACATGAAGGCATCAAGAAGGCAGGGACAAGCTCTTGTCATTTGTGCCCTGTGATAGAATGAGGAGCAATGGATTCAAACTGGAGCCCAGGAAGTTCCACCTCAACATGAGGGAGAACTTCTTTATTGCGAGGATGACAGAGCGCTGGGACAGGCTGCCCAGAGAGGTGGTGGAGTCTCCTTCTCTGGAGACTTTCAAGACCTGTCCGGATATATTTCTGAGTGACCTGCCCTAGTTTTGGTCCTGCTCTGGCAGGGGGGTTGGACTCAATCTTTGGAGGTCCCTTTCAACCCATAATATTCTGTGATTCTGCAATATTCTATGATTCCATCCTGTTATGATGTGCTGCATGAGTTCTGGAAAAAATATTAAGGCACAATGATCATTTGCAAAGACTGACTGCCTGAAGTGGTGTCTCAGTGTTAGGTTTAAATCTGTTCCCTCTGATTTAAATTTCTTACCCCCACTTGGCTCTATTTCATATTGGGTTTTTCCCCCCATCTTCCTGTCTCACTTAAACAGATGTCCTCTTTCTTATTCCCATTGCCAACATAGAAAATGGGTATATTAATTATGACAATATGGGTATATTATGGGTATAATAATGGGTATATTAATTATAATAATGAAAATCTTTTATTCAGAATATGATACACTTATGCTGAAATTTAAAAATGTTTACTTATGGCAGGCCACTATTGTGAACTGCCAATATGATGAGTAGCTAAATATTTCACAGGTATAATTAAAAATGTACAGAAGCTTAAAGGGAAGGTGAAATAAATGGGACTTTATGGTCCTACATTTTCTATGCTGGAAGAAAAGTGTGATGAGGCACGAATAGCTTCCAGAAGCTACCAAAGGCAAGGTTTCCATTCCCTTCCTCACCTAAGCACAGTATTAAGTTTGCTAAGAGGCAGGTAATGGTAGAGCAATAACACTGCACTGGCCTAAGATTTCCATCCAGATGTCACAATGTGATTTCCAGAAATACCTGAGAAAAATATTTTCCACATTGTTTCTGGTAGACAACCCTCATAAATAGCAGTTATTTCAGAGATGAGCTGGATGACTTTTCTAGATGTGCAGGAGGTCCATATTAGGACAAGGGCCGGAATCTGTATCCCTTGACTCCTATTTTCTGTTTCTAAGATTGGTCTTTCCCTGGAGGATGCATGAAGGGGCACACACAATTACTCTTCTGGCCTCTATTTCTTGTATTAGTCTAACCTCCTGTCCCTACTCTCAATTAAATGACTTTTCAGCTTTTTAAGAGAAGTAATTTATGCAAGTGGTGAGACCCTGGCCCAGGTTGCCCAGGGAAGCTGTGGCTGCCCCATCCCTGGCAGCGTTGAAGGGCAGGTTGGATGGGGCTTGGAGTGACCTGGGCTGGTGGGAGGTGTCCCTGTCCATGCAGGGGGTTGGAACTGGATGATCTTTAAGGTCCCTTCAAACCCAAACCAGTCTGGGATTCTATGATTCTATGTGATTATATTGAAACAAACTTACAAATATGCCTCGCTCAAAACCGGGTTTTCTCTTTGTTCTCCTACACACTTCCTTCACCACCACCGTAACACAAGAAATATCACTGACAAAAGAAATCCTTCATGGGGGAAGGCTAGATGAAACAAAGGCCCATGAACAGCTGGGGGTTTCTAGAGACCATCTACCAAAGCTCACGGGCAAGAACAAGTCAGGGGCAAGTCAGTCCTAGTGGCTGCAAGCTGTTTCTCAGCAAGCCACTCTGCTTGCAAACACTGTTACCACAGATCTGTGGCACTACTCTCAAATGGTGTGACACCAGGCTCAGGTCCTTGGTTTTCCATGAAAGAGCACATCCTGAGCGTACCTTGTATAAACCAAGCAATGAGTGAGTATCAGTTCTGAGGTCTCTTGTATCCTCAGCTCTCTTGTGTCTACCTAGAAGGTGGTTTGTAACTCAGTTGCTTGCTACACATTCTCCTCCTGAAGTAGCACTGTCCCACAGATGGCATGTACCAGAGAAGGTCTGAAATGAGGCACCTCTTCCTAAGGATATGTGAGGAGGAAATGGGTTCTTACAGGAGGAGTAGCTCTTTCCTGCTCTTTCACCACTCTGCACTAGCCTTTACTGTGAAAAAAGTACAACTGTCCTCTGAACAGTTTTAGACAATTGATAACTCCTTGATTTTGTCAGTAAGTCTAGTAGCTACTTAATGGTTCAGCTTAGTTATTAATTACTACATTTCATCTAGGAAAGATGTGGCCACATTTAGCACAGTGACTTGATTGAGTTGCAGAAGTCACTGATCTGTAAAATGTTGGAATGCCCAAACTGAGTCTGCAGGCTTGTTTAGGAGGCCTGTTTAATGTTAGTCAAGTTGGAGATCCCAATATGTAGATGGTCACCTAGCATTCCTTTGAAAGTTGCTTCTTGGCTCCTGTTGAAAAAAAACACTGAGTCACAGCTGAGGTATAATTGTGAAGTTGTGCTTTTGACAAATGAAGCTAGAATCTTTGAATTTGTTGGGTTTTTTTTCCCCTGTAATCCCTATTGGATGACATACTTTCTATTAGATTATGTATGCTTTTAAAAATCCTGGCCTCCTGAAGCCAGACAGATATTTATCTACATCCTTGGCTGGACTGTTGAAGGCCTGTCTTCATCTGTCTTTGAAGGACTTAACAACTTCTCTGTATATTCATATGCTTACCTCATCACCAAATGAAAGTGGGGATGTTCTCTCCCTGTGCAATCAAAATCCTCACTGAAGTTTGCAGGTGTTTATTCAGCATCCACAGAACAGCACTTTTGTCCCCAAAGCCACAGTTAATTGTGCTTTTCCTTTTCTGTGTTGTTTCCTTGAATTCCTTTTGAGTTCTTATGACTTTGCTGTTGAGTGTTGTCTATTGTTAGAAATAATGGCATACAAGAAGATTGCAGCAGAGCTGGGAAACAAAATAATTTTCCCTCATTTGCAGTATCAGTTTGTCCTGAGGCACATGGCAGAGAAGAGAGGGGGAGATCAGGTCTTGTGCTGTGGAATACATCACTATAATTAAACTCTTCTCTGAGATGACTCAGTTTCCCATCTGTGGCTCCAAGATGATAAAGCTGCTTTGTTTTGTTTTGTATTCCAGAGCTTTGGAAGCAGAATATGTTAGTTGTTGTGTGCCTACAGAGAATTTTTACATCGACTACTAAATTTGAGGTCCTTAGGTCTTACAGGACAGCTACACACTTAGAGCACTTTGCTCTTTCACAGGCTGTAGTCCATTTTTCAAAGGATGATAGATACCAAGTCTTTCATACAGGGAGGAAATTAAGAGAAAGGGAGATTGCTTGCACCTCCTGCAGCTCAGCTGTGGACCTACTGCTTTTCCTTCTGGTTTGAAATTTGCAGGAAGGAGAGTATTAAGGTAAGAATCAAGAGACCCATCTCACTGCTGAGTCTGGCTTATGACAAAGCTTTGTGTGGTCAGTTTTACTTTTCAGTTTTCCTTTCAGATCTCTCTTCCAGTTCACATATACTTTCCCAGGGAATCTAAAAAGCATTGCATACATTAAAAATATGTGTGAAGCAAATGCTAAACCCTTAAGCAGAAAGAGCTTTGAACCTAAGCTGTGTGTACCAGTGACTACTTACTTGTACCTCAAAGGCAGAGTTTAACAAGAGGCCACTTTACACTATCCTGTACTATTTGAGGCTCTCATGGCAGAGGAAGCTGGGTCCAGCAGCACCAGTTACACCATTTACAGATACACCAGATGCTATGTGGTGTCTTGCAGCTTAATTTCCAGTTACTGAATGGTGACTTGTGCTTTCCCACTGCAGGTTTGCAGGTGTTTACCATTACCTCTAGCTTAGAGAAGTAAGAGATGATTAGAACTTCCAGTTTTCTCACTGAAAGTCAGGTCTGCTGGGAAAATCTCCTTCTCTGGAGACTTTCAAGACCTGTTTGGACATGTTCCTGTGTGACCTGCTCTGCATGTTCCTGCTGCATCAAGGGGGTTGGACTTGATGATCTTCAGAGGTCCCTTCCAACCCCTATGATTCTATGATTCTGTGATTCTACAAAAAACCTTTAGGGTTCTTGGTGCATGTGAGAGCTGGGCTCCCTTGGCATGGGCACTGCCCCAAGTTTTGCTCATTTAGCCAAGGCAAGCAGCAGTTCCTTAATGGCAAAGTAGAATTAAATAAATCTTGGAGGAATATTTTCAATATTTAAACTTCATTCCAAATATTCAGCTTTTAATTAAATTACTTAGCTTTTTCTTTCTTGCTTATGTATAGTTTATGGCCAGTTACTGTCCTAAAGGGCTACGTGCATCCATGCCAGACCAGCCACTTTCATGAGTTCCCTTCTGTCCAATGGAGCAATTCTCTACTAGGAGAACACACTAAGCTTCCTTACAGGTCCCAGAATAAAACTATGCTAGCAAGGCTATTTCCCTTCACAGGCCCTTTGCCTGAACCCTGATCTAATGAGCAGCCAGTTGTGTGAGAGGCTTTCTCTCCTGCAGTTCTGTGCCAGCATCTGGGCTGAGGGGACCTAGGCGATCCTGGGTTTGAGAGCTCCCCAACTTGGTCAGTAGCAGGAGTGAGTCACTGGAACTCTGGAGTGAAAAAACTAGGATGTGTTTAGAATACTTTTCTACAGGCTAGACAGAAACTGACATTTAGGAAGACAGAAAAACATGAGAGAGGTGGGAGAGTTGGAAGCATGTTACTGTGGAGAGTTTCCACAATGAGTTTTACAGTTCTGCC